CGCATGCACGGGGCCATGCCAGCTGGGCAACCGGCGGAGGCAGGAAGGTTCACAGCGCTCCCGAGAACCTTCCTGCCTCCGCCGGTTGCCCAGCTGGCATGGCCCCGTTCCTCCTCCTCCTCCTCCTCCTCCTCCTCCTCCTCTTCACTTCCCAAAGACTCTTCTCCTCCTTACTGGAGCTCAGCAGGAGCCGGGCACAAGGGATGGGAGGAAAACCACACCTTGGAAAACTTTGTTGGGAAGGGAGGCGGGGAACCAGTAGGGGTCAGGGATGCCCTGGAATGCCCCCATGTTTTGCTGGTGGCCACGCCTCCTAGGGAAGTTCAGGGAGGCCCTAGGAGGCCAGCCCCGCCAAACAAGCTACTGCCTGCGAGTGGTGACGGAACAGGCGGGGCAAGCGAGTGAGGGGGGCGGGGCAGGCGCTCCATGACGAACCTCTTCTAACCGGTACGGTAGATTTCTGGAAGCTCTTCTACCAAATGACCTGAACCCACCCCTGCTACTACTATAGAGAAAATCACTTTGTTCTAAACTTTCAGAGAACCAAATTATGGTATTTGCTAAAAAGAAAAAAAAATCAGTAAGTTTCCCTAGGCAATAGAAGGGCAAAAATTGAGCAAGTGAGAGTTTTCAAATATTTAAATTGCCTTTTAAAATTCAAGGACATGGAACTGGCAAATCAACCTAGCAGATGCAACAGGAAGAAAGGATGGTAAATAAAGCAACCCAAATTGTATAATATAACCCATTAAATGAAATAATAAATGTATAAGAATGATAAATGTATAGAAGAATAACAACTATGTGAATGTATACTTAAAATGCTATGTAAGAGAAAATAAAAATTAAAAAATTTCTCAAAAAAACCCTAGCAGATTCACAGACTAAAAAAAAAACCTGAACAATTCCATGACAATTTCCTCTTATCAGACAAGAAAAGTGCTATCACCCATAATGTAACAAAGTTCTATATAGCTGCTGTGAATGTGCACAAACTTATTATCTTACATTACTGATACCCTTGTACTTCATTATTATATCTTGAGTTATGTAGGATTGAAATACTTATTACTTTACTAATAACTTTAATACTTCAGACAGATATTCCTCTTTTCAAATATTTCACATTTTCCAAAGTGCATAACTCAATGTCTTGGAGATTCTCAGTCATCCAGGTTTTGGTTGTCCGAAAGGTGCTTTTGGGTCAACAAATAGCCCTGAGAAATTGAAAAGTGAAATCCCAAAGGTCCTTTTTTCAAGAGGCAATAGGACTTTTTTCTTTTTCTTTGAAGATATTTCACTTCTCATCCAAGAAGTTTGTTCAGCTCAAGAATCTTGGATAAGAAACAAAACATCTTCAAAGAAAAACAAGAAAGTCCAGTTTCCTCTTGAAAAAAGGATCTTTGGGATTTCACTTTTTCAATTTCTCAGGGCTATGTGGATAGATTGTATGATTGTGGTATTTAGTTTATATACTGGATGTTTTATTTAATCTGGCCACTGAATGAAATAAATACGATCTATCTATAATTTATAGGACACAGTAGCTCAATGGCTAAGACGCTGAGCTTATCGATCAGAAAGGTCGGCAGTTCGAATCCCAAGTGCCGCATAATGGAGTGAGCTCCCGTTACTTGTCCCAGCTTCTGCCAACCTAGCAGTTCGAAAGCATGTAAAAATGCAAGTAGAAAAATATGGACAACTCTGGTGGGAAGGTAGCAGCGTTCCGTGTACCTTCGGCGTTTAGTCATACCAGTCACATGACCACGGAGACATCTTTGGACAGCTTTGAAATGGAGATGAGCACCACCCCCTAGAGTCGGCAATGACTAGCACATATATATGAGGGGAACCTTTATCTTTACCTTTATCTATCATTTGGTATATGAACACATACAGTTCACTGCAGTACCTGCTCAACATGATTTATGGAACGATGATGACTGATATCCTGCTTCACTTCAGAAACACTGGGGAAGTAAATGCATACTGCTTTAAGTATGCATTTGTGAGCTCAGTTCTGTACTATCAAAGTGTACTGTTATTTCTGCTGATGATTATTTTTTGTTGTTATTGTATAGCAGTGTTTCTCAATCTCTACAACTTTAAAGTGTGTGTAGCTGAGAAATTCTGGGAGGGAACTTCACACAACTTAAAGTTATCATGGTTGGGAAACATTGCTCTTCAGAGTACAGAGTACAGCTATTGACTTTTTCATTATTCAGTGACATTCTGAAATATCAATGAGATCTATCTACTGAAGTATGCCCATTCTATTAACATCCTACAACATTTTTTGAGAAAGATTATTGTAGTTATAAACCCAATCTGTTAAGTAAAAAAAAAATAAAACATAGCAAAGATCAGTGAAGTTCTGATATGTAATTTGCAGCAGTGGGTTAATTGGTCTTTTTCATGACATTTTAGAATTAACTTTTTGCAATAATATAGCTGCAAATTTTCACTTAATGGAAATTTCCAACCAAGGGTTTTATCACTAGAATTGATAGGCTAGAGAGCTGTGGTGGCACAGTGGTTAGAATGCAGTATTGCAAGCTACTTCCACTGACTGCTGGTTGACTGCAATTTTGCAGATGGAATCACTCCAGGCTCAAGGTTGACTCAACCTTCCATTCTTCTGAGGTAGCAAAATGAGGACCCAAATGGTTGGGGGCAATATGCTGACTCTGTAAATCAGTTAGCGAGGGCTGTAAAGCACTGTGAAGTCGTTTATGTTTAAGTGCTATTGTTATTGCTATTATATAAACTAAATAATTAAAATCCATAATCAAATTTAAAGCAACTTGTATTTTACTAACCTATTTGCTTTATTTTGTCCTGGGTATAATAGTACCAAAAACCGTCTTCTGAACTGTCAATTCCACGCCATGAATCCAAGAGGTTATAGGAAAACACATTACTCCACATACCTAAAGAAAGATCAAGAGTTAGTAAGATATTCAGGTTTAGTTCTGAATTGTACATATCAAAAGGTTTGTTTTCCAAAGTTCTAATAGGATGTTAAGACTGCAGTCCTATGACTCTCATGAAGATGTCTCACTCTCTAAGGGTTCAGAGCAAGCTTCGACCTCAGAAATGCTGATTCCTAAACATCCACATGAACTTTGTCCCGGCTGGTTCCCAAGACAGTCCATTTTGAACAATTTTGAACAATTTAAACTTCAGCTGTTGGAGGTCTCTGAAGCAATATGGATTGCTAAATAAGAAGTTTTATTTATTTTCATTTATTTATCAAATTTAGAAACAGCCTGTGTTCCTTACAGAAAGATTCTGGGCAGTGCACAAATACTATAAATTATTTAAAACATAAAATTATATGTTACGTATTGAAATGAGTAACCAAAACTAGTTACTGAAGCTCTTACTCAGGTCTGCTATTGAAGTGGGAAAATACATTGGTTGACCAGCTGACAGCTTCCTATAAAAGGAACGCTGTCAGCCAGGCTATTCTGTTGTTGTTCGCATGAACTAAAAGAGTTTTGCTAAAGTCACTCTGGCCTCGCCTCCATTCTCACCCAGAATGTAACATTATATCAGTGGTGGGTTGTAGACGGTACACCCCGGTACGGGCATACTGGAGCCTGCCCAGAGCACTGGATACCGTTCCGGTGGGCCCGTCCTCCCTCACTCCTTACCTGTGCTTTAAGCTTTTGGCACTTCCGCGCACATGCATGGCACATATGGTGCCTGCGCGAAGCTCTGCTGAGCAGCTGGAGTGTTGAAGAGGCTTGTGGAAGCGTCGCAGGCAAGGACAGCACATGTGCGCGCCACATGTATCCATGTGGGTGATGCCGGGGCTGTTCCAACTGGTATGGTTGGAACGGAATCCAGAACCCACCACTGCACTATACATATATTTTTAAAAAATGGATGGGAAATTGTTCAGCAATAAAACATAGACCTTGTGGAGGAAAAGTCCCAGGACCAGTTCATTGCATATTTCTTTGAAAAATTGAAGCTAAGTTAGTACTTGTACAAAGCAGCAAAGAAGCCAAAATCGGAGGTTTGTGGCATCTCAAAGATATTCATTTCAATTAAAGCATAAGCTTCCACAAAATAGAATGTAACCT